ACAAATTGTGCTATCCACCACCTAGAACCGACTCTACAACCTTCATTCTTCACGTTTCACTCCAAAATCAAAGGAATTGGACCTTGATTCATGAAGATCGAAGCCGTCGGCTCCGACGGCACCCATGGCAGTGAATCTACCATTCCTGCAATGATTTAATGCAATTTCCACCACCAATGTACTTCCCTTGAGCTCAGAAACAATGCCCAATCATTGGTTGAGGTGTTGAAGTGATTATGGAGGTTGAATCAAAGTACACCCAAATCTAGGATTTCGGCGGGTTTTCGTGAAATTGGGGCTTATACCGGCCAAATTGGCCTTGGTCTCAAGTACGAAAGTTGTTCATCTCATCGAGATATTCATTCCTATAAAATTTGGGAATTTTTGGATATGTTGGATTTTCCAGCTAGTCAGGTCGGCCGACCGCCACGCGTGGTGGCGCGTGGAAGAAAAACCCGAGGTTGCTCAACGTGTCCACCATCCATTTTTTTAAATTATAATGTTTTAGTATGGTTTTACTAAATGGTCCCTAATTGTGTTTAGCCGCGTTGGCGGGAAGCGACATCATCTTAATAAAATCGGTGAGTGGAACCCTTCATAACTTATATATTTTTATAAAATATTAGCCTAGCATGTATTTCATATTTCATGCATTTAATATGTTTTATATTATGTTTTCTGGATTTCTATAATTATGGTTTATATAGAATTTATGATTTAATTAAATTGTTTTACGGAATATTTATAATTTATCGAATTTACGTTTAATAACGGTTATGAATTATTGGAATTGCATATATGAAACTCCTTGGATTTACAAATATGTTTTATATACGATTTATGAAATGAGATTTTGAACCCTTGAGCTTTGGTGATTTGGCTTGAGATTTTGAGATATGTTTTCGGTACTATCTAGTGGGTTATCATACGGCACATCTGCACACCATGGGTATTATGTCTATGGCCATAGGACACAGATGATGGAGGAGTGAGATATGATATATTCTATACTCCCAGCTTCACCGCCGAAAGCGGTGTCGGACAGCTTCACTAGCCACAGCTAGTGTCGGTGTGGATGTATGCTATTTTATACAGCTTCACCTACGGGTGATAGACAGGTTATTCAGCTTCACCTTCGGGTGATGGACAGGCACTGCCTTCAGGCGACTATGATACCCTTAGTTGAGTACTTCACTGATGAGATTTACGGATTTACCTTCGAGCGACGTTTTCATCATTTTTTAGCATGGTTTTACACGTATCAATTTTACAAACATTTTTCATTGCATGCTAGGGTTTTCATAAAACCTACTATGTAGTATTATATATATGTTTTCAAAACAGGGGGTTATTATGTTCAAAAATAAAATGTTTTCCTACCATTAGTACTAATATTATAAACGTTGGTCCACTCACCTTTTCTGATTTTGCGCCCCCTTCAGGAATTAGATTCAAGGCACATTATCCCGTCGCCAGGACTTTCCCACTTAGGCATCTTCAAGCCTCTTCTGTGTGAGTCTCATTCCTTGGTTCGTACCTTTCTATAGTAGTTCTTTACATTATTTTTGCTTAGTTGTATGCTCTGAACACGATTCTGCTTTAGTTTAATCTGTTCTAATTAAATATTTTAGTTGTATGCATATTTTAAATGGCTTCGTCACCCTAAGGTGTCGGTCAGCACGTGCCTACCCTGATATTTGAGGATAACGAGGTTGGGGCGTGTCATAGGGAGACTAAATTTGTAAACTAAATTAGCAAACCATATGAGTTGTCACTGATAAAAAATGAGCACGTTTATCAACGATTAAGTAATAATCCAATCACCAATTTTCATGTCATTTTGTTTACAACATTTAGTTTACAAATTTAGTCTCCCTAGCATTACTCTTTATTAACCGTAATAACATCTAGATGGCTAAGAATTAAGTCAGAATTTAATAAAGAACCTTGCTAGAAACGAAACAAATGTATAGTATATTACAAAGCATAATGCAAAACTTAACGACACGCTGTATCAAACTCGCCTTCCAGCACTAGTGAGAAGCGAGCTAAATTTCCAAGGACTGCAGCTGAAATGACCAGAACTAGTGAACAAATCCCTTGCCGGAGTACTCCTTAAACTCGAGCACTGCCCTTTCGAAAAGGAAAACGAGGATGAAGATGACGAGGTTGAGTTCCGAGGCGAAGTTGACGATGCCATGAACTCAGAGTCAGAGCTGCAAAACTCGACCTTATCAAACTTATCTGACTCACCAACAACATTAACATTGTGTTGAAAATTATTCTTACGTTGTTTATTTTTCTTACTTTTTTTTGTCCAAAACTTGAGCCTATGCAGAGGGCTTGTTGGAGGCTTATTACTACGAGGATGTTGATCAATGCAGGGTTTGGGTAGCCCTAAGCTGACCACAGCCGGGGGAGGACTTATCGGTGGAATCACTTCTTCTTTCGGAGGGTTCCGCGGTGTTCCTGGCTGCATTTCCCAGTTAAATGGAACCCCTTCAGTGCTCCTACAGTAATAAACCCTAGAAGAGCAACCCAATGAGGATGAGGAGTTTCTTGAGAGGTTTCTGTTGAACAAAAACTCTTGATCCCCTCCAAGCGCCGAAACTCCTTTCGTTTCCATTTCCTTTCGAGGTTCATAACCCATTATTTGGAACGAAATTGAGGACTTGAATCCAATGTTTAGAACGAAATTGAGGACTTGAATCGATGTGTTTTGCAGTTTAGTTTTCTGGGTTTTCGAGGCAATGATGAGAAGTTTAATGGAAGTATTATGTTTATAGAATGGTAGTGTATAAATATAGAGAGATTTGAATCCGGTTTTGAAGGCATGTGATGGTGTCTTGGGTTGCATGATCCTCTTGTTTTGATTATTGAAGATTGATTAACAATCCAAAAAGTAGATTTAGGTTAATTTATTTGCAATTTATTCGAATATTGCAAGTGATATAGGTAAGGAAGGAAGGCAAAGAGAAAGAGGAATTTTACCTTTATTCTTAAGCTTACGTTAAACATGCATCCAATCAAAGCTCCATTGGTGTTGGGCGGCCTATCTTGCATGTGCTTTACCAAACTCTCAAGACAACTCACCTTTGCTTCTTATTTACCACTTCATGCATTAACATATTTTGCATATGCCAATTAATTACCTACAAAGGAAATAAATTGACAATTATTGGAGAAAAATTTTGAGTGTCGCAATCACTTTGTGCCAATGCGTTTACGTGTTATCCAGAAATCTAGAAAGTTGATTAGAAAGTTGGAAAGTAATCACACACGCACACACAAGCGTTGTTTGTGGCCAGTGACAAGAACATCCTACTAAAAATGAGCATCGTTAACATAACATTGATATTTGGTTGCAATATCGTCGTCTCTAAGTCATTCGGAGCTCATGCGCACAACCCGTACGCACAAGAGAGAATTTTTACACAACACCACAATATGTTACTAATGCACGTATTATCTAGTAGTCTAGAAAGTTAGAAATAACCCCGGTTTTGTGTTGAAAAACAAGAAGAATCAATTGTGGTTGTAAAGCATCATTGATTCAATGAACCATAAAATCACGTATGAAGTTTGACTTTTCATGTTTTGTGTTTCCTGCATTTTACAATTGGGTGTTTTGGAAAGGTAGAATGATTATATTACTTAATTAAGGAGATTAGAGAGAAAGTAGTTAACCAAACTACATTAAGAAACTGGATTCCACTCCATTAAACTTATGGACTACTCGAAGAGGCTGTAATCCTCCGTCATCCCATTAACATCTCCACTGATGAAGGTGATATGAGAACTTAATTGTTGTGATTAGTATTAAAATAAAAATTCATAAAAAGAAAATGGTTTGGGTTGGATTGACTCTGTGTTGACTTTAAAAACTACTTAACTTACGTGACACGTAGACCGAGTATTTAATGAGCTAACTACGTCATTTGGTTGAATGCAAGGCATGCCAACTCGTCGGCCGAGTTCAGCCGGGAAGAAAAATATGTTTGATGTGGCGTTGAGCGCACTACTGACTTCTTGATCTCGCGATTGCAACCGAGGAAGGAACACGTCTCGGCCTTTGGGTTCTAGAGCTTGAAGACATGGCTGCTAGTTCTGCGAAGTTCAATAATAAATTCAGCTTTCAATGTGCTGAATGTAGTAACTTAGTAACACCTCACTTCACCGAGAAGGCTGCTGAGATGACCTCTTCCCACAAAGACTCAGAAATCCTTGTTGACCAAGACTTGGATAAATAACCAGTCGGTCTCAAAGCAGTGTTGTTTATCCAAACTGAAGATGCTCCTCTATCAGCTGATTCTATGACTCCAGTACTGTTCAATGTTGTTTATCCAAATTGAAGATGCGTTAGTGAGAAAAAGAAAATAAAAATCTCAAGGTGTTTGAGAGGTTTGCACAGAACAATTGTGTTGAATTGGAGGGACTTCAATAAATCACGTCTTGATACTAATGGATAATCAACCACTGTTTGATAATCATATTGAGCAATCCTTATCAACACAATTGACGACGTGCATGGTTGAACGAGTTCCCAATATTCATGCTGAGTGAATCTGGCTTCATAAAAATCTACACGCTGCCTCACGGCGTAAAAGCATATGCCAATATGCTAAATCATTTAGCATAAAAGACCAAAGGTCAATTATCTGATTGTTGCCATCTTATCATCACCATCGTTCAAAAAGCCCACTGTTCCTTTGTAGCAACCTAATACAGACTCCCATTTTAGCTCCAAGTCTTGCATGCAATCCCTATTTTCCGTACATGTGATAATGCATGCAATTGCATGATCCCATCTAATTAAAATACTTGCATCCTGCCAGGATATTCGGTCGTGATAATTCCCCCATCTTGCATGCTTCATTATCTGATGCCGTGCTCTATAAAATTGCAGCCGTATCATCCCACACGGCAATCCTACTTAGATAGGAACAAATGAGAGATCTAGGAAAGTGAGAGGACTTTGCAAGAACAAGACAACTATGATATCTCGGGTCAAAGGTAATCATAAAACTCGATTAAACTGCTTGAGGCATATATCCACAAGGAAAGCTAGATAATAATTACATTGGCAATACAGATTAACAGTCTTCTACGTTACAGTCGCGGAATGAGTGTTCGGAATACTCCGGTCAGAAAACAAGTACAGAATAGTTTACATGCTTCTTGTCATTTATCTCACCATAGTACAGCCAGCTTCAACAATCTTTGACATTGGCCAAAAGAATTCGGTGTCACCAGGTTCGTTAGTTTCTTACCCCCTGAACATCAAATCGAGAAGAAAATCAGACATACTGCTAAGAATACGTAGTTGACATCTTCGTTAGTTTCTTTGCATAATCTTTTTATTACGTTGCTCCATTCTAAGGTGATGCTTAAGGTTCTTTGCCAAGAAGCAACCGTTCGAAATAAATCTAGACTGCAACATGAGAGGAATCTAAAACTATCGCAGTATGAAAAGTATCTCTCACACACAGGAAAATGGAGGCTGACATATGAAAAAGCACCGGGATGAACGATCTAGTGGTAAAAAGTAATCAAGTTCTCTAACTTGTGCGGCTTTTAAGTTCGTACATAAGACTTGTGGAACATAGAAATATGTGGGGAAACTCTACAAGAATATATGTGAATTTGACAAACCCGAATCACCATTTTCAAACCTAAGAATTAGAACTTTGTATAAGTATCTTATTTTTACCTCAGCAGGTGATGAAATATTAGATTCCCCGCCAGAATTAAAATGGCTGCCATTCAGATTCCTACATAATATATAACCATATAAATATCTACTTAAAAGAAAGAGTAAATGGGACAAGGGAAATACCTTGGCCTCTCGGACTTAGCCAATTGTTTAGACATTATGGATGCCTGCAATAAAACCAATCTTCCATGTTTATCCTCAACCAAAAACATAATAAACAGCAGAATTACATCACTGAACTGGTAATGCCTAGTCCACTTTACTTGCACAAACTGAATGGTAAGATAACATTGTTGAACGGGTATATAAATTCTCAAATAAATTCTAGCATTTGAAACAGAACCAGAAAGTTGGAGATTCAGCTTCTTAAATATTGCAAATTTGTGCACTTTTCTGGTGACACCTTAAAAATAAAAAGGAAACCATAACTTTACAAGAGGAGATGCAGAAGAAGTCTATTAGAACCATTGAATGTGCGATCATGATCCACAGCCTGGCAACTAACATGCAAAATATCTCGCCAGAGATCATTAGTCTGTATGTATACATAAGAGCAAAAGGATGAAACCTGCTCTTGGATTATGCTCCTCGCCTCAACAAGTTGAGCTTCAAGCTCAAGCTCCCTCTCGGTTACTTCAGATGTAACCTCTGCTTCTTTTTGTGCATCTTGCAATTGAACCATGCGCTCCTTTATAACATAAGAAACGAAACCCATCAGTATTTCATCTTTTTGCAAGATACATGATGAACATTTATTAATGGAAAACAAACTACCTTTATGGAAGCCATCTTATTTCGAAGATTTTCTTCTATTTGATCTCTAGCCATGTGAAAAGGTAAGTCAAAGACATCCTGCAAGGAGTAAATTCAATGATACAAATAGCACTTGAACCAATGAAACATTTCATCCATGCACCATTTAGAAAGTGTAATACCGTCCTCCCGCCCAGTGGAGACAGAGTGTGGTCAGTTTCAACTCGTTCATTTACATCCCGGGACTGCTTGGAGAACCCATTTGGAGCATTTATGAAATCGCGCATATCAACCTGCAAGGCAACTAATCCAGTTAATGTTACGACCCAATGGCATACGAAGAAAAAGATAGTGGAGACTTCTCAACAAAAAATATGACTAGAAGTATGACAAACATGAAATTAATATGGTGATGTAAAGATGTTAGATAAGGGGGAGGTGCTTCCTAGATGCTGACTACAGTCCCCACTTAACATGCCCATATTCGACATCCTCAGAAACTACACAAAATGAAGACATTGAACTCCTATCACAAAAGAATCCACAAATTATGATACCATCTAACGCAGATAGAGATCAGTTTCCTACATGGCACAAGGATTAATGCCCGAAAATAAGGTAAAGAGTTTCAAAGACTGAAGGTTTCTTCAACCCAAAACCCTAAACGAAAATAATACAACAGAAACGAAGCAAAAATGGGTGTCACAAAATGTGAGCATCAATAGACGAAATGACAGTTCTTTAGAAGCTTTTGTCATAGAATAGGATAGAAACAGACAAGTAAATGGGGACCAAAGAAAAGATTACACAATAAAGAAAGAACAGAAGGATTTGAATTAAAATGATATGAACAAACGTGATGCAGAGGGAAGAAAATCAGAAGGCTGCAACAATAGCATATTTGGCAGGGAATAAAACAAAAAGGTACAACTACACACATGGGGAACGACGATGGAAGCACAAAATCTTTCAATTCTAAATTACCCTATATCCAGGATATTGTTCTCATATAGATTACGAAAGAAATTAGCAACGTGAAGAGGGCAGTTCTTCAACCGTCCTTAATACTTTAGCACTAAACATTAAAAAACACAATCTTAGAAACGTGAACACATTAATACACTAAAGGCTCCTGATTGTTTCCAACAAAGTGGCGGGTAAACTTCTTACAATAAACTGTAGTAAAATGATACATTAACTTACTAATCCTAAATATTCAGGCAGAAAAAAAAAAAAAAAAAAAGAAGAAGAAAGAGAATCTTCAGTATATGGGGGTGTCCAAGAAACAAACTTAACATCACCCCAAAGTAAAATAGGACAACAGATCCAACAGACTAAAAGCACATTAACAGGCCCTATCTCCCATAACCCTCTGTATGGCTTCTGTTGCCAAACTCAAGCACAGGAAATTACTCTTGATTTTTAATCTGATGTAGATAGCTCAAAGAGTTCTGCTTCAACATAACAATACATAGGTACAACTACACACATGGGGCACGATGGAAGCACAAAATCTTTCAATTCCAAATTACCCTATATCCAGGATATAGTTCCTCCTATGCACAGATTACGAAAGAAACTAGCAACGTGAAGATGGCAATTCTTCAACTGTCCTTAACACTTTAGCACTAAACATTAAAAGACACAATCTTAGAAACGTGAACACATTCATACACTAAAGGCTCCTGATTTCATGCTTGTTTCCAACAAAGTGGAGGGTAAACTTCTTACAATAAAGTGTAGTAAAATGATGCATTGACTTACTGATCAGGCAAGAAAAGGAAAGAATCTTCATTATATAGGGGGTGTCCTAAAAACAAACTTAACATCACCCCAAAGTAAACTAGGACAATAGATCCAACAAACTAAAAGCACATTAACAGGCCCCATCTCCCATAACCCTATGTATGGCTTCTGCTTCCAAACTCAAGCACAGGAATCACGCTCATGATTTTTTTTTTTTTTTTTTTTTGAACAAACGGTATTATCTACACTAAGGGGGAGGGGGTGGGCTTAGCCTCACAATGGGCTAGCAATAATGTGGTTCAAATTCGCCTTTGACGAGAATCGAACCTAAGACCTCTCACCTATAATGTTCACGCTCATGATTTTTAATCTGAGGTAGATAGCTCAAAAAGTTCTGCTTCAACATAACAATCCATGTTTCTAGCAATATTTTTGGTATTTTCCCCTCACCCACAGCAACAGGAATATTACACAAATTTGACCCATTTAAATTGTTGGTGTGATTGAAAACGTAGAACTTGTATCTTCGATACTTCACTAATTCTTTATCATGAAATAGAAAAACACAAAAAGACCAAAAATAGGATTTAAAAAATTGCCATGGCAGTCAGTGAAAATGTTTAAAGATGCTGCCATTTAAAGATATGTACACCTAGTGAAAATTGCGAGTCATGAGCCACAAAATTGACAACAATGATTAACCTTACCTGCATGGATCGTAATAATGCCTTTAAATCGGAATTCTCAGCCATTAGTTCTTGATTTTTTGCCTCATAAGCATCCACCTGGAAATAATGTAAATTCAAAATTTGACAAGAATGTGGTTCCGAAAAGCTTAAATAAGACAATTAAGCTACATACAATCTTTTTGTGAAAATCATTATCAGCCTTCTTTCCATTCCATGTTCCACGCTGCCTCCCTTCTTTCTGTTTGCACGTAATATTAAGGGAGAGAAATGTAAAATTAGGTGGATGAATTTGAAATTTTAAAAGGTAATTTAAGTAAGTCAGCCTTTTAATACCTGAAGCAAATTCATTATCTCCATGCCTGATCTAGATTCCTTCTTTTTCTCCATCAACACTTGGTTTAGCCTCTCCTGAAATTAGAATGGCATCACTCTTTCTTTCCAAATCTAATATCTCGTCCACTCATGTAATTGTTGGTCACGTATAAAATCCAAGTTCTCTAAACCTAAGGAAGCCAATATGTTCTCCTCACAGGATAAGAATACACGTAGACAATATTACCTGCAACTTTATGTACTCCTTTTCTTTTTTCTTCATCTCATGCATTTGTTGAGTCCTAACTTGCTTTGGCAGCATCAACATAGCAATGATACTTGTCAGGATTTTTGTCCATTTTCACATAGAAGCTACCAAAATTCAGAAAACAAAGTCCATTAAATTCAAATGGCCCAACCTGATTGCCAATGACCATCCTCTGAAACTCGTCTCGCTCCTGCTGTAGCTTCTCAATTTGGGCCTTAAAAGCTGCTGTAGCTTTGGCTTCCTAATCATAGAGAATTCCCAAAAAAATCAATAAAAGTACAAAACCAGTACAATATCCTTTTTAAAGAAATGAAAGTTTCTAACCGTTCGTGTCATTGTTGCTATCTCCCTATCTTTCACTTGTAACTGCCCCTCAAGCCTCTCAACTTTAGCTTCTAATCTTGATATGTCAGACACCAGCCTATAACATAAAAATATAGTACAACAAGCATTGGAATCACTCGTCAGGACACTGAAATTCGAAAAAAAATTCAACTAAATGAAAGGTCCATACAAAACGGACAAACATAATAAATAACAACAATGTGCTTAATCAAATACATAATACAAGTACATTAACCCAAAACATTGTATAAAACCCCAATGAAAACAAAAAGGGGGAACTTTATACACATTTTCCACTCAAATTATCGATTCAGAGATCTAAGTCCAAACAAATAATGCATAAGTTTTAGAGAGAATCATACCGCTGTCTCTGTTCGTTAGTGGACTCTCGAAATTCAACATCCCTTTGTCTCTGCTGAACCAAAGCATAAATACAATTGCAAGTCCGAGCAACAGAAACCTACAAAATTGCAGCAGACACAAATTTGAAAAATACATCAATCAAAAAGATAAAAAAAAAAAAAAAAAAAAAAGAGAGAGAGAGAGAGAGAATTTTGCTGGAGCAAATTAAAAAACCAAAGAAAAACTGACCGGATCATTTGCGAAGAGATCAAGTGACGCCGGGAATCCGAAGGTAACAAGTGTCTGATTCAAATACTTAATGCAATGCTCCAAATTCCCCACATCGGCAAATGCGAACTCTCTGAAGCACAAAATTTCAAAATCCCATACATACACCCACAAACATATAAACACACTTACATATACACAATGCCCATTAATACATAAGCTTAAAACCCAAGAAATGGAGGTGGGGAACTGACCCGATTGGAATGGCGGACTGAGGTGACGGCTGCACCAATACAGAGAAAGATAATGTGAGAAAATTAAAGATAAAATGAAAGTGGAATTGTTAGGGTTTGGAGGAATAGTACTCTGAGATCGAAGTCTGTGTCCGTCGCCGGCATTGTTGAAGGCAGGGAAGCTCGGGGGGAGAGAGAGAGAGAGAGAGAGAGAGAGAGTGATGGAGAGAGTGAGACCCTCTCTCAGTAGATCTGAGCGGTGGCGATATTCAATGTTTCAAATTTTTTTGGACTTTGTTTGGACCGGGGTGGTTAGTTTCTCGATGTTCCTCTGTTGACTGGTCTATTAAGGTTTCATGTATTGACCAATAATATTGAGGCTTTTATGGTGGATCAGTTTCGTTCAGTGACGTGGTGGGATATGAGTGGTGGGTTTGTGGTGGGATGATTTTTTTTTTTCAGTGTAGAGGATGTGAAGTAAATGGCGCCAGACGGCACAAAAGGCGTGAGTGAAGTGATTAAAGTGGAATAGCGGACCCTTTTTCCTTTAATTTGAAAGATTATTCATTGAAACCAACAAATTGGTATTTAGAGTTTTTTTTTTTTTTTTTTAACTGTTATTAACATCCCAAATATCACATTCTACACTCCTTACAAGTGTATTTTTCTTTCTAATTATAGAAAGTTTGGAGTTTAAAATGATATTTTTGAAGTGCTAATAACAATTCTTTTTTTTTTTTTTAACAAACGATATTATATACCTTAAGGAATATATGTGAGAATCGAATCAAAGACATCTCATTTACAAATGAAGAAGAATACCACTAGATTATAGTATTAATTGGTATTTAGAGTTCAACCCAAACGAAAGTGTGTTAATGGGGATGTGGTTTCCAAGGGGGTAGATCGTAGCGACTATAAGTGTGAGGCCACTAGCACATTACTAAGACTTCATTTGGCATTATATTTTTTTCACCAAAAACTGCTTTACTTAAAATTAAGCAATAAAAATGTGTTTGATCAAAATAAAATATTCCGCTTATTTTCAAAGCAACAGCCTTTTGACAACAGATTTTAAAAGCAGCATGTAAATTATCTTTAGAAGCTATTTTTATAAAAAGTGGAATAAGCCTTTAAGAATATATTGAAATCCTATATACCCTCATTAATTTTAAAAAATAACATTGTTTATCCTCCTATGCATATTTTCTCCCTTATAATAAAATGATCATCACCACCTACCACTACAACCACAACATTACATCACCACCGCCATTACCACCCCAATTGTTGTCACCACCACATTCAACAACATTACAATCGCCACCACTACAATCGCTGAAAGTAAATATGAAGATTTATATGGGATCTCTAGTGACTAGCATGCATATACAATTCAAAATTTATGTACATAAGCAACGTAAGCAAATAATCAAAGATATAGTCCTGCAAATTCCCTTCAAGAAGTATAGGTTCATACTTGATGCATCAAACTAATTTATCAAAGGACAAGGGGAAGGATTTGTATCTCATACCTTTGGACCTAGACTTAAGTCCAATGATTGACCACCTCTAACTTAGTTCTCTTGGAACTCCTTCCTCCTAGCTTGACTCATTTCTTCCTAAATGTAACATCCCACATCGCCCAGGGGAGTGGATCATGTAAGCCTTATATGTATATTCTCATCTCTACCTAGCACAAGGCTTTTTGGGAGCTCACTGGCTTCGGGTTCCATTGGAACGCTGAAGTTAAGCAAGTTCGGGCGAGAGCATTCCCAGGATGGGTGACCCACTGGGAAGTTCTCGTGTGAGTTCTCAAAAACAAAATCGTGAAGGTGTGGTAGGGGCCCAAAGCGGACAATATCGTGCTACGGTGGAGTCGAGCTCGGGATGTGGTGGGGGCCCAGGCTGGGATGTGACAATTTGGTATCAGAGCCAATCCCTGGCTAGAAGTGTGCCGATGAGGACGTTGGGCCCCTAAGGGGGTAGATTGTAACATCCCACATTGCCCAGAGGAGTGGATCTTGTAAGCCTTATATGTATATTTTCATCTCTGCCTAGCACGAGGCCTTTTGGGAGCTCACTGGCTTTGGGTTCCATTGGAACTCCGAAGTTAAGCGAGTTCGGGCGAGAGCATTCCTAGGATGGGTGACGCACTAGGAAGTTCTCATGTGAGTTCTTAGAAACAAAACCGTGAAGGTGTGGTAGGGGCCCAAAGTGGAAAATATCGTGCTACGGTGGAGTTGAGCCCGGGATGTAGTGGAGGCCCGGGCCGGGATGTGACATTAAAGTTGAAAGCCTCTAAAGATCTACACCCATAAGTGTTGTGATGTATGAGGGAATAACCAAAAGGACAAGAGAAGGCTAGCAAAATCTCACTTTGGTAGCCAGCTATATGTTATAGAAAGAGAGGATATTTTCTTTCCATTGTTGTGAAAGTGAACATAAAACCCCTACTACAACTTTTTCCTTAACTCCCCTTATATAGAGAGAGAATTTAACAACTCCAAAAATGTTATTCTCATTCTCTCCTTCCTCTATTGTGGACCCTCTTTGTGATGGGCTTGTGTTTGGGCTTTTAACATTTCAATTCATCTTATGCTTGAAGAAAAGGCCAATGGTTGGGCCCAATGGACACAATATAAACCAAACTATTTTTCTAGCCCAAAAGCGATGTTTGATCACTTCCATGATTAATGATTAACTTAGACTTTCTAATTAATCATGTCACTTAATTAATCCAATTAATTAATTATCATCCTTTATTTATCTCACTATACGAGAGTATTGGTATACAATTGTTTAGGTTCTAGTTTTAGCGAGACAGTGAGGTGATTGGTCTCAGTCCAATTGATTAGTACTTATACAATCACATTGCGAACTAAAACTTACTTTTAATTCTCCCACACTTTGATGATTAACTCACAAACCATGAGTGGCATCGAACCATATCTCATGATTACACAACTAATATTGGTAGAAGAACTTATTCATTTGGATTACAATGTTATTCAACCCTTCTCTAACGAGCGTGTACATTTGCTTGGCATATGTAGAATTCCATACAAGTAAGTACACTAGTTTGATTTTGTTTAGCGGACTCATTCTCTTAACGAGCGTCTACATACTCATCTTAGTGTCCCTACACGAATGGCTTGAAACTTTCCATCCTTCCAATTGAAGTAAACATAGTACGTACTGGTTTATCCTAATTGTCAATGTCCCTCTGACAATCCTATGACCAGGCACATTTTGGACATATGGTTATGTAAAGAAGGTTTCTGCAATCTCACTTCTTTAGATTACTTCTTCCATCATTCCATTCTCCATGGATTCACTATTTTGGAAATATATTGTTTAATTGAGATAGTTCTAATGAGTACTTTGCCCATTTGTTGTATTAGACATAAGTAAATATTCTTTTAATTTAGAAAATGATTTACTATTACATGTTTCCAAAACATATGATGTTGTCCCTTCTTTGTGTTTAAATACTTAGATGAGACCTTGATTCCATGGCTTGACGCATTACGTCTCAATGTGCTACTGACGTCCTAATGGTTTGGATTCAATCATTTGTTTAAGATGAACTCTATCTATTCGTAACACCTTTCGAAGTAGTTTTTTAAACCTCAATATATCATTATATATTTTATTTGTATACCATATGCAAACTTTTTTCTACCTTGAGACCATTGTAGTACCGTAATAACAATAAATTATACCATTACTAACATGAAGTTCCATTTGTTAAATGGATTACATTCACTTGGGTTTATAACCTAAGTGAGTGCACGCTTTCAGAGTCTCACTCTGGTATTCCTTTCTCAAAGACAATACTCAATCAATTGCCAGGTTCTAATCCTGGCTTTAGTAATATTTGGAAGTGATTCCCATGATGGTCATTCACTTTTGGATATCAAATCACAAGTTAATACATGTGTACTTTTGTGATTGACATGCTCCTTGGACATTATGGTTATGTAAAGAATGCCTATGTAGTCTAACTCCTTTAGATTACTTATTCCATCATTCCATTGTCCATGTATTCACTATTTTGGACACATATCGTTTAAATGAGATAGTCCTAGTGAGTGACTTTATCCATTTGTTTATTTGACATAACTAAACATTTAGACATTATCCTGAAAGATTTCTTCTCAAGATTTACTTTGAGGGCATATTTCCAACAATCGCCACCACTACCATTGTCACCACCACTACCTCTATATCCCAACCACCACACTCTATTATTGGCACCACAACCACACCCCCACCATTATCGCTGTCATCACCGCCACTAACCTTGTCACCGCCGTTGTTGCCACCACCCCTACTACTATGTCCATTTTTCTCATTATATACAATTATATCAGTTTTACATTAAAATTCACCAAACGCTATACACTATTTTTCATTCCCACAACACTTTTAAAAATACAGTTTAGCAAATGCTCAACTACTTTATTTTACAACTGATTATTCTTATAGCAAACATTATATCAAAAGCTACTTTAATTTAACGTTAAGCAATAAAAGATTCTACTTATTTTGACCTCCAGATAGTAAATTTTAAAAATAGTCTGTAGTTTTCTTTTAAAAGATGTTTTTATAAAAAATAAAAATAAAAATAAAAAAAAATAAAGCAAAGTTAAGCCTTTAATGAATATTTGCAATTCTTGTAATACCTGTAGTTGGAACCAAAAATTTGCCCCGTGGAGTTGTGCGAGAACGACCACTTATAAGCAAGAACAAACAATTGTGATTAACCTAAGATACCGGTCTGGTACCAACCAAAAGCTCTCTGATGATCAAATTAGTATAAATATTATAACTTAAGCAGTGGGCTAGAGAGCAAAATATGCATTATGAAAATGTTGCCATAGATGAACCCTAGATGAGTGTATTTATACTAGTTGGAAGAAAGTCATTTTAGGATATAGAATTTGTATCAAACCAAAGGAATCCCAAAGGACATCTACCATAAGATATTGCTTCCTTTTAGAAATGTGATTACTTACGGCGCATACCAATCCCTAAATTGTAGAAATCGCCAAGAATGTAGGAAACCAATTTGATCCCTAGTCGAATAAGTTTTTCATGTCTTGCGGAGCAAATATTGTTGATCTCAACATGGTATGTGAGCCTTGCCTACCATTCCGAAGCCAACATAGTGTGGTGGAACTGTTGGTCCATTTTGTTGGCCTAGTCTTAGAGCCGTTGAGTTCATGACCAGACTTATGGGTCATTGGCATTCCG